AGCCACCAAAGCTGCTCGGGCTGGAGATGGGAAGGGACAGGGAAAGGTTCAGGGACAGGGCAGTGCCACCCAAAGCACCCAGGGGAGAGGAAACATCACAGTCTCCTCTGCTTGTGCTGGCCTTGTCCCTGCAGCCACGGGGACAGTGGGGGGGGGGTTGGGGAGGAGCGGGCTGGGGCACGGCTGCCACCCCGGGAGCAGAGACAGTGATGGGGCCAGAGAAGTTGGGTGGCATCACTTTGTGGGATACTGCACCCAGAGGAAAGGAGATGGGAGGAAGCGTTAACCCCCCCCCGGGACCTGCCCCCCAGCACAAAAAGGGTCCAGAGCGATGACCCTGGCATTTTTGTCATCAGTCATTGACAGAGGTAACAGGAGGGACCAGCAAAGGGCTGTGGGCAGGGTGGCTCCTGAGGACAGGGATCACAGAATCACAGAATCTTCTAGGTTGGAAGGGACCTTAAAGATCATCTTGTCCAACCGTCAACCCAACTGACAAAAATAGACACCCACACAACAAACAAGGAGCATCATCACTAAACCAGACCTCCCAGCACTACATCAACCCGTCTTTTGAACACCTCCAGGGATGGTGCCTCAACCACCTCCCTGGGCAGCCCATTCCAATGGCTGAGAACCCTTTCAGTGAAACAATTTTTCCTAATATCCAGCCTGAACCTCCCCTGGGGCAACTTGAGGCCATTTCCTCTTGTCCTGTTGCCTGTGACTTGAGAGAAGAGACCGACCCCCACCTCTCTACACCCTCCTTTCAGGGAGTTGTAGAGAGCAATAAGGTCTCCCCTCAGCCTCCTCTTCTCCAGGCTGAATAACCCCAGCTCCCTCAGGGGTTATGGGCAGGGCTGTGACAGGCAGGGACCCCATGGCACCCATTCGGCACCCAAAAAGTGGGTGACCAGCCCCACACACACACCCCCCATCTCTCCCCCAGCAGCACGAGCAGGAGGAACAACCTGCAGGACAAACCCTGACTGCTGGGGAACAGCAGCTGCCTCCCAGTTCCCCTCCATCATCAGAGAGCCCCACCAGTCCAACACAGCCTCCTTCATTCCTGCAAAATGCCTGAGGGCTCGTTTCCCCCCCCCTTCTCTTCCATGTATTGGGGAGAAAGGCCAGCTCACCCTACCCCTCCGTTGGCAATGACCCCCCCAGCTCCTTACAACACTCCATTCCAGGACAGGGGTCGAAAGCGTCGTTTTCCACGGGGACTCTTGGAGAACAGCTGGGAATGGATGGCAGGAAACTTGGAAGGACTTTAAAAAACCTCTTCGTGGTCACGTAAATCCCCCGTGCCCCTCTCTCCCGGGGGTTATTTCGGCCACCGAAGCCGAGTGGGAAGAGACCGTGCAGTTCTCCTATATCCAGCCCCTGCCAGTAAATTGCTTTTCAGCAGGATGGATGCTTCCCAGGAGAAAGGACAAAGAGGAGTTTATCTGCCAGCACCAAACCAGCTGCTGGGGTACAACGTCTCTCCCAACCAGAGACCACCCAGAGATACAGACCACGCTCTACACCAGGCATTAATTCCCCCCCAAATGTAAGCAGAATTACAAAAAAATCTGCCTTCAAAAGGCTCAAACACAGCTCCCTGATACAGCCCGTGGCTGCTGCCCTCCTCATGGGGTGGAAATCAGCCCAGATCAGCGCCTTAATACACACTGGCCCCCGTTTCATTAGGTTTTGGGGCTTTTTTAATGAAGATCTGATCTGATTTTAGCCAAGCGAGGTTGCTGGCTGAATTCACACAGCTCCCCAGCCCCCCGTGGGGGTGAAATCACAGGGCAGGGGGTGGCCAAAGCCCCCAACAGCCCTGAGCAGCAGGTGAGAGGCACCCCCAGACCCCAACACGCACCCAGAGATGCTCACACCACACTGGGCATTGGGAAAAAATGCTGTGAGCACAAATTGGGGACTGGTCTCGGTGCTGGGGGAAGGAGGGACCCCGTGACACCGACCTGCCAGGAGCACAGCTCGGTGTGTGCTGAGGGACCCCAGGGAGGGATGTGGCAGCGTCACCCATTCAGGGGAGAAATTCAAGGTGGCAGCGCTGGAAAGGTGCTCAGCAGGGATTTACACTGCCCTTCCCGCTGTGCTCTGAGGGAAGGGCACGGTCAGGACGTCCCTGAGACAGGAACCAGGCGAGAGAGGAATAAAACAACCCCTTGAAAAGGTCAGAAGGCATCAAAACCACCTCCTGTGCCAGGCTGCTGTGCTGCACCCCCGCCTCCCCGCTGTCGGGGAAGGAACATCTCTGCTCTGCCTGCACCCCTGCCTGTGCTTCCAGCTGGCAGAGCCTGGTGGTGGCCCTCAGGGACACCCTGCCACCAGCAGCATCCCCAGGAGCTGCCCTCGGGGCACCCCAAGCTCAGCAGGCAGTGCCCCCATCTCCCATCCTCATCAGCCAAACCATCTTCTTTCCCCACCCTCCCTCCTCGCCCGCTTTCACTGGGATGTTGGTTTCCACATCATTTATTTCAGGAGAAGCATTTTTTTCCAGCCTCCTAAAGGTTTATGAGGCTGATCATGATTCTCCCTCGTGCCCCAGGACCTGGTGTCTTCACATCCACCTTGGGAAGTGGATGGTGAAGTGCAAATGAGAACCTCCAGGCCCCTCTTGCCGCAATCAGCAGCCCCAGCTCCGGGCTCTTTGTTCCAAGTCACTCTTAATTTCCTGCTTTCTATTGTCTCTTTGATAAGTGATGGAAGTGGGGGGGAAGGGGGGAAAGGAATAGCTATTATTTAATTGCTTTCAAGATCTCAAACAAGCCAGAGCAGAGGTTATCTCCCCCAAACCTCTCCTTTTTTTTTTTGGTTGTCCTCCTCCAGCCAGCGTTACTGGGTAACTGCAGAGGGAGAGGCTGTGGCAGGAGCCACCCACATTGCGCAAGCCCCCAGAGACCCCAAAGCTGTGGGTGATCACTGCGTCACCTCCCCACCTCCCCCAGGCCAGCAAGGACCTGCCTTGTCTTGCCTTCGGTGGCCAGGTGTAAAATCCTGCGGGCCAAGGTTCTACCAGCTTTCCAGGAGATTTTGGGGATCTCAGACACCTCTTGGGGGTCTTCAGCAGGGTCAGAGTGTGGCCACCACGTTGCCATCGCCCTGACCCTTCCCTTTTCCCCTGGTGGCCTTGGGGACACCAGGAGAAGCTGAGCCCGTTGCACCATCGCTGGAACCAAACTGTGGAGAATCAGCTTCTGCCACAGGAGCTGGGCAGCAAGGCCAAGGTCGTGCGAGGAAGGTGAAGGAGCCAAGGGGTGTCTGGTCCTGGGTGGTCCTTCTACTGGAAGCCTCATGGAGCTGGGCAGGTGCCACCACGCTCTGGGTGGAACCACGGTCCCTGAACCCCCGCTGCACAGCCCCTCCAGCACTTCCCCTGAGACCCCCCCCCCTGTTTTTTGGGGGCCCTTTGCTGTGCCCAACACCCTCTGTGAGCAGGGTCTGCTCCCAGGCACAAAACCCAGGACCAGGTGGCCAGCTGGACCTCAAGGAGCAACACCCAGAGCCGCAGGCAGCCGAGGTGCCCTGCTTGGCTGGGTGGGTGCTGGCAGGGCAGTGGGCACAGCAGGGTAGGCAAAGCAGGCAGGGTGGGCAGAGGAGGGTGGGCAGCATGGGCAGGGAAGGGAGCAGGCAGGGTGGGCAAGGTGGGCAGAGCAGGGTGG